CATCCCAATTGCAGTAATGTTAGTAATCAAGCAAACTAGGGAAAGCGATGCAGGGAACCTCGACCATCGGCAGTAGTGGAAACTGTTAAAATCCGGGGAAAATGTTAAATCCGGGGTCAGAGTTGATGGCGGGTAATCGAGGCGAAATCAGGTCAATCTCCCAATAATCATGGGTTCCCGTCCCTTTCATCATTTTTCATCATTCTTCCCTTTTCTTAATTCTATTGTCGGAAATAGTAAATTAACCGTAAGATCCCCAAAATTAAATTCCGAGAGAGTTTAAATAAATGGTCAAATTCCTTTTGTTTCTTTTCTCTCTTACCATTTTTAATCTTTTTCTATGTTTTTAATTTCATTGCCGGGAACATAAAATAACAAGGGTATTCCCCCTAGAATTAAATGCTGTGAAAAATAAAGAAATTAAGGGATATTATATTTTTTCCTTCTGCCCTACTAGTCTTAATCCCTTTTCCCCATCTTTAATTATGGCACTAAGATAGACAAAAATTTGAGGCCTCATTTCGACCCCGGGCGTATGCTGCAAGAGCGTCGCGGCGAGGTCTGTTCCCGTGATGATTCCTCGCGGCAAGCCAATCCGGCTCCAGCCCTATGAAACGTCGGAAATGACGGTCTCTAGATACGCCGAGTGTGCCCACCCATCTCGCTATCTTTTAGGGTTACTCGTAAGGTTCAGTGTGCCCAGAATCAGGGGTACCCTGAGTTCCCCTAATTTCTGTCGCCCGGTCAAACCAGAGTACCGTCAAAACACGGACTTGCCCTTGAGCCTAAGTCCCAAAGCCGCAGATTTAAGGCGGGGCACTGCTTGTGGCCGCCTTACAGTTAGCCCGTACCACTTCTCGACGCCCCCGTCGAGCCCTAACTACTTATGTCAGACGAAGCGGACGAGCTTCAGGGTGATGGCCCGTAAAGGACGCCCACGTTGGCGTCCAATTGTCTTAAGTTTCAGTTTGTTATGAGTCATGGGGCTAAGAAGATGCTTCTTGACTTTCCTGTTTCTTCTGGTTTTTGGCCTCGGCACGATCCTCTTTTTCTTCTGTCTTTGCCCCGAGAAGGGTGCCGACCCGCCAGTCCGTCTAACGCGAACTCTCCGTTTAGCGCTCTTGAGCACGAATAATTATTTATTCTCTCTTCCTAAAGCTAACCCTTTGACCTTTCTTTTCTCTATTCTTTTCCTCTTCTTGGAACTCTCCCCTGGCTCGAATCGCCTCAAGGGGGCTCCATCCTCCATTTTGGCTTTTCCTTTCCCTTTTGGGTTTGTTTGCGATAAGGTGGGTGCGGGCCTAGGTCTAAACAACTTTAACCTAGCACCCGCCATTGGGTTCTTCCACTTGGATCCGTCTAATTCTGCTATCATATATGCACCCTTGTTGAGTGACTCAACCACTATGTAAGGTCTCATTCATCTGTTGGCGAGCTTTCCGGTCCAGGTCCTCTCAAGTGCTGCGTCGTAGAGAAGGACCATATCTCCTACGCTCACCCTCTCTTTCCTGATTCGCATGTTCTTATCCCATCTCTATTTACCCTTGTCCCTTTCCACTGCCAGACGATCTGCCGCTGTCATAAGGTTATCTTCCAAACCGTAGGCTATCTGTCTTGTTCGGGCAACTATGAGTTCCTCTCTGGACATCTCCTCCGCTTAGTCGAAGGTTGTCCAACTGTCGACGTGAAACTCTATGGGGAGCGGACAATGCCGCCCAAACCACAAGGTATGTGGTGGGTATCCAGTGCTAGCCTGGACCGTGACGTTGTCTGCCCATATTGCGTATCGAAAATATTGTGGCCAATCGCTGTCCTTACCTTTGCACCACTTGGATAGTGACGCTATCAGAGTCTGATGACCCCTTTCTATTGGAGAGTTCGATTATGGGTGGTAGGCAGTGGCTATCGAAACTCTCGCCCCAGCTCTCTTGAACACACTCTGAACCCCGTCAGCTAGGAATTTCGCCCCTCTGTCCATCACTATCTTGCTGACACAACCATACCTAGATAAGTACTCTAGTACGGAGTTCTTCACTTCCTTTGTTGTCTTACTCCTGATAGGTCTACCGTCTACGAACCCCGTGAAGTCGTCTCGTATGTTCACGACATAGTTCATATTGCCTACCCCTTTCGGCATCTTCACCAGATCGATGTGTACCTTCTCCCCTGGTCTTGTTCGATAGGATGGATGAAGTGGCTCTTTGCATTTCACAAGAGTTCTCTTCTGACACTCCTCGCTGGTCATACAGTACCTCTCGACGTCCTTATACTGTCCTTCCCACCAGTACAACCTGCGTACCTTTTCGTAGGTTCCTTTGACTCCTCTATGTCCTCCGACCACCCCGTCGTGAAGCTCCGTTACTATCGTCTGTCTCTCCTCAGGATTACAGACTACTCGTAAGGGCATCCCCAACCCTACTGGCCTTCGGAAAAGGTGGCCCGCTCTAAGGCAGTACTGGGTTGCTTGTCTCTGGATATTTGAATCTTGACGCTCCTCTCCTGTCAGGTGTAGCCCGATCGTTCGGTACTTGCCCTCGTAAAGGTTAACCAGACATCGTTCAACGCGTCTCGGCTCTGCCAATGTCAGGGCTCCAGCTACTATCGGGCGCTCGGCCTCAAGAGGGATCCGCGAAAGCCCATCTGCCACGACATTTTTAGTGTCAGATATCCTCTCGACTGCGTAATCATATAGCCGAATCCGTATCAACCATCGAGCGATGGTCGGGTCCGTCAGACTAAAGTCCTTCTGGAGGACCGAGGCAACTGCTGTGGGATCTACTCTCAAGACGAATCGCCGTCAGTAGATATAATGTCTGAACGTGTCTAGACACCGCAGAACAGCTAACACTTCCTTTTTGAATTGACTGTAGTTTCGTTCTGCCGTATTTAGTGTCCTACGTTCAAATCTTAATGGCCTTTCCTTTCCTTCAGCGTCTTTCTGAGACAGCAACCCTCCAACTGAACAAGGTCCAGCATCCGTGGATACTATGAAGGGTCTCTCGGTCTCGTTGTCAAAGAATGGCACGCCCAATACCCGTCCTCCCTCCTTAAATTCCTCTTTAAGCTCTTGCATAGCGAGTTCCTGCGAGGAATCCCAGTAAAATTTTTCAGTCTTTCGAAGGAGTAACCTCCATGGCTCAGCCTTCTCCGCATACCCCCGTATGAATATCCGTCAGTAACCAACCACTCCCTGAAACTGCCGGACCTCGGTTGGACTATGTAACGGTGACTACCAGTTAAAGAGTTTGTCTAACTTCGTCGGATCAACTCGGCGTCCTCTCGTGTCACAGATAAAGCCCAAGATCTTAATAGTCAAGACGGCCCATCGACTCTTTGTTTCGCTGACCGTTAAATTTGCATCGTCCAGCTGCTCGAGTACCGCGCATATATCTGTTAGGTGTTGCTCGACGAATCTTCTCACTCCTGATACAACCTCTGTCTCATCCTTGTCTACCAGCCCTTTTATAAGAAAGTCATCTAGAAAAACTTCAACCTTATCAGGGATGAAGTCCTTGAGGACGGCTACCATGGCTCTCGGAAAAATGGCTACCCCATTAGCCCAACCCATAGGGACAACCATCATCTGTATCAGTCCCAATGGCGTGTGCATTGCCGTGAGGTGCCTGTCCCTAGGATCAAGCGGTACCTCATCATAGCCTGAGAACAGATCACAGACTGAATAAATTGACCTGCCTGCGGCGCCTTCAACCAGTAAATCGGCGTGTGGCACGGAACCCATATCTCGTATCGTCACCGCGTTGACCTTCTGAAGGTCCTGGATACATCGGATCTTGCCATTCGGCTTTCGTAGGAAGAACCATCGATTTGGATAAGCGCTATCTGACGGTTCCGCAACATGGGAAACCATCTTTTCCTTCAGGAAAGCGATAACTTCTTCCTTCTCCTTCTGGGCGTATTTCCATCCTGCGTCATTCCAACGAACATGTGAAATCGTGTAAATCCTCGCTGGCTTAGCGTATCGAGGGTCAACCCTACCGCGCTCCACGTCGCTGAAAGTTATTGCCTTATCACATGTCTTCAGGATTTCTATCACACGTTCTCGCTCCTATGGGGTCAGATTTCCATCTCCGATGTCCATCCCTGCTATCCTCTCTTCCGTTAGGCGTTGCGGTTCCTTTTTCTTTTTTTCTTTGATTTCTTTTGCGATCTCTTCTTCCGATATCCCTTCCAATGCAGATCGCTCGCGACCCACCGCCGCTGGTTTAACTTTTTGTGCTACTCGCTTGTGTCGCTTGGGTAGCCTCCCATAGGGGGCCGTGCCCTTAAAAAAGACACAGATACTACCCCGCCAAAGTCCTCCTCTGTCTCCTTTGGGTACGAGTTGCCGTCCACTATCAGCGGACTCCCCAAATCTTCCACCTCCACGATCCGACCTTCTTTCTCTGTGAGCAGTGGTCCATACTTCTTCTCGCGAAATCGCACCGCGCGGCCGGAGATAGTTAATGACTCAATCTGATCATTGGGTCTTACACCCACAGCGAGAGCTGCTCTGTTCCTCGGGTCCCGAGGCTCCACTGTCTCAATCATTACTCGCATCCCGTCTAGCTTCTTAATGGACAATGTCTGCCTCCCATCCGGTCACTCTATCGTCACTGTATGCACGTGGTTCAACCACGTTCGTCCCAAGAGCAGGTCGGAGCTGCAGTTCTTGACTGCAAAGACAGACAGGGTCACTCGTACCCCTTGTACCTCTTTGACTGCCTTGTGACAAACCCCAATGATCTGTTGCTTTCTCCCATCAGCCGTCTCTATCTCGAATAGATATGACCTATCGAGGCAATCTGTACTGCCAGATCCTCATCTATAATGACAGCCTCACTGTCATTATTGACCACAACATCTAGTACCGCTCCATCATTTATGATCGTCTCCACGGTCCTACTACCAAGTATGTAAAACTTGTCTGGAGGCACACCTTTCATCCTATCAAGAAGGACTGTTGCCATGCGATCCGCTCTGGCAGTCACCCCCGTTACTTCTACAGTAGGAGCTTCCGCCTTAGGGGTCCCCTGAGCCTCCTTTGATAGAGGTATGCGAGTCTTCAACGTGATCATCTGTAACTCATCGCGAGCAGGCTTCGATGCCGCCAGGTACTCCAAAATAGAGTACTGCATGGACTGCCGAAGGGCCCGTCCAGTGGCTCGACCGTGTCAATCTCGTCCAGCGAACTCTTCATCAAGAACTTCTTCACTCCCCGCTTCTGCGGCGAAAGAATAACTTCCTCTCCCTCGATCCGTTGTCCGTCCTTCTCCGCCATCACGTAATCCGTGTCAGTCTTCTTCGATGTAGACCCTCTCGCCGACTTGGTGGCTGCCACCCTTATGGGTGTTGTCGCCATATCCCCCTCAAAAGTTATCTTGATGCTCTGCCTCCTGACCGGCTCCTTTCCTTTACTCGGCTTTACTCTTCTTGCTTCGACATTCTTCTTCATCGAAGGGAACATCGATACATCTCCCAGATCATTTGCCCACTTGACGTACTTGCGGTCGTCAAGCACGACAAGTCCCTCATCTATCGCCCGTTTGAGATCTGGGCAGTCTCTCTTGATATGATCATCCCCTCTACAGTAGACGCAAGAGTTCTTGGGAGTGGGCGGCCTGTCGTCTGCGCTTTTAGAAGTCGAACCCCTGGCTGCTCTGGGGTCAGGGGACTTTGAATACGGATCAGCCGAAACGCCATATCCCCCTATCTTATTCCTGCCGCGCGAATCATTGCGGCGGTCTCCGTGTTCGTATCGCCCGCGTGAATCATCACGTCGGTCTCCTCGGTCGTATCGCCCGCGTGAATCATCACGTCGGTCTCCACGGTCGTACCGCCCGTGTGAATCATCTCGTCGGTCTCCTCGGTTGTACCGCCCGCACGAATCATCACGCCGGTCATCTCGGTCGTACCGCCCGCGTGAATCATCGGGTCGATCCCCTCTCTCATATCTATCGCCCCTGTATCCATCTCGATCCGTCCTCTCATATCTGTCGTCTCTATGTCCATCTCGGTCCGATCTCGCATATTTTCCATCCCTGTATCCGTCTCGCCGTTCCTGATCCGACTCCCACCGGCCTCGAGAGTCGCCTCTACCCCCGTCAGGCTCATAGCGAGGGCTACGTGAGTAGTCATGCAGTCTCCTAGCATGCCCGTACGTCTCGTGAGTCCTGCGGTGCCGGTCTATCTCATCATCCCTACGTCGCCATGGTTCATCGTCTTTTTCCCTTTCCCTCACACGATAATCTGTCCGCGTTCGGGGATTTCTATCCTCGACACTTCTCCACGAATCAGTGTTCCTCCGGTGCCAGCGAAGTGAATAGGGCCCTTCGGGCTTGTCCCGATATGCCGTGGCTCCGATGGTGGTCACAATCTCTATAACCTGTATTGTCAATCCCTTTATCATGTCCCTTATCTCCTTCACTTTCTCGGCCACAACTTCATTCTTTTCCGACCAGGGATAGTGTTTGAAATCAGAACGTCTATAAGTGGCATACTCCTTGTAGAGAGAGAAGACATGCCTCCTCATCCCTCTCCACACCAAGTCCTTGTAGTCGTCTGCCTCTGCCTTTATCGCGAGCTTTATGACTTCTGGGAAGTCAAGCTTGTCTCGCGGAAGATCTCTAAGTATACTCTTTTGTCTACCTTTGGACAGGTGTCCGATGAAGATAGTACAACGCTCGACCTCCGAGATCTTCCCCTTCTTTATCAGCACGTTGGAGATCTTCTGGAAACGCATCCCAAATGCCCGTACGCGCTCATCTTCATCTTGAGTTATTGTCTCGAGGTCCTTGATGGAGTACTTGTTATCCTCCAATTTGTAAAGCTCTACGAGGTTCTTTTTGTACGTAGTCCATTTTCCATCCTTGGGTCGGGCTTCCTTAACTTCCTTGCCGAGACTTGGATCTACATTAAATAGGAAGTTCTCTATAATCTCTTCCTCCGATCACTGACTCCGGCTGGCGTGAAGTTCCCACTTTTCCAGATATTCTGTGATGCCCTAACCCCTGAAAGTAGGAGGCTCCGAGGCCTTGTGCGTAATAATATAGCGATCCTTGCTCTCATAAGGGAGCGGATGTGACTCCCCGGTCTGGGGGTCGAAGACTCGCCTGGGCGGCGGTCTATCCCTGTCTCTGTCCCTCCAATAGGATTCCCTCGAACTCTCTCTTCAGTCGTCCCTCTGCCTATCCGCCATGGTCTCCCTCCACTCATACTCGGCGGAACGTCGTCTCGTCGCTTCTCGACGTCCGGTCGAGGTTCCTGTCTTCAGAGCCTCCTGCGGCTCTGTCACAACCGGCTCGCCCATTACGTCGGACTCTCCGTCATTGGTTTGGTCAGCCCATCTCAGCGGTGCTTCTCGCCTAATTTGTTCCTTCAGATCCCTCAGAGCTCAGTCGGGCGATGTCCTGTACTCCTCCCCCGCTTCGCCTGTTGTTGGTTGTGGCCCCATCGTGTCGGGTTGCATAGACCACCAGATGATGCAGTTGGGCTCTCACGCCGGGCGTTACAGCCCGAACCTATGACACTTGTCGCAGCCCGGACCTGTGACAGAACTCGCAGCCCGGACCAGTTTCCTTGTCACGGTTCACGCTCGTCTCCAATCCTAGTTCTCGACTACCCTGATTACCACCTCCAGTACTCCGTACCGGTCGTGGATCTCGTGCTCTCCCTCTATCCCAAGAATCCCTGTGTCTAGGTAAACCTTTCCTTCGGGATCGGCCAACAAGGCCGCGCCTCTCCGGATCTGCGGTACACCCGTGACAGGGTCTCTACTCCTGCGGCAGATCGCAGTCCCAAACCTAGCTAATGTCTCCTGATCAGTACCCCTCAAGAGCCTCCGAGCGTCTAGCTCCGTCCCCCTTGCTAGGTCTCTTAGCCCGTCCTGAATCGGGTAGCCTGCTAAAGGAGGAAGGTCCCCTCCTACTGCCATCCAAAGTTGCTCGTCAACCCTTCTAGCTTCCATTATCCTTCCAAGAGCTTCCAATCTCTATCTCTCCTCCTTTAACTCCCAGACGGCTGTGAGGTCATCTGCCTAGCACCTGAGGTAAGTTAGTGCTATAACCACTCGTAGCCTCATCGCCGACAACTCCAATATGTGATAGAATGTCTCAAAGTCCTCCTTATCTCCACTATCCTCTATGGCCTCTAAAGTCTTTATCGATTCCTTCCAGTACTGATCGTGAGCGGCTAGCACCCTGAGTATGGCACTGTCTGTTACAACTCTCTCTAACTCTCCAACTTTCCTGGCTTCGTTTATCTTCAACCTCTCAGCCTCTCTAGTCGTCTCGTACCATGCCCTTACCCGAGACCGCCCTTCGAAAAGTGTCACTCGGAGTACGTATTTTATCCTCCGTCCTCCTTCTATTCCAATTCAAAGTCCTGTTCCCCTAGCCTCACGCAGCGCACGGTGGACACACTCTGCCTCCTCAACTATGCACAGTCTGGTACGGAGCTGGAGCTCTACGATCACTAACACCAACGGCCCGTCCAGTCTTCCTACCACATGCAATGAGTACCGATCCGTCGTGTGTAGTGCAGTCCCGCTCATATCCCGTCGCTACCTCCCTGCGTTACCTTGTCCTCCGTCGACTCACCCTCTGCAGACCTCCCCCTAGTTTCTTCGCGTGATACGCTCCTAGCTTTTACCCTCTCCAGAAAGTCTGATCTCCACACCTGGATAATCTCTCTCTCCTCCCTAAACAAACTCTCTAACTCTCTCGTCACGAGCTCAGCCCTACGCAACTTCCCGACATCCTGGCACGACCAGATCTCCCTTAACTTGTTCCCCAACTCCTTTACCTGGTTCAAGAGTGATTCTTCAATGCGCTCTCTCACTCTTTCGACTGCCTCACTCTCCTCTTCCATACTCAGTCCTCATCGCTTTCCAGCTCATCCTCTCACCGTCGCTCTAGCCTCCGCTACCGTCTCGTCATGGAAGTGCTTCGCACACATATAACCTTGTGACCATATCATCACCTCATAGGAAATCGTGGTCTGGAAGGTCACCCGCGCCAGTACATCGGCTCTATGCTCGTGGATCAAATCTCTGGCTCGTTGCCGTCACTCCCTCGCCGTCAAGTCCTCGTCTACGTACGCTCGGAGAAGTACTGTCACCGTGTACCCTGTGCTTACCAGTTGCTCTCCTACATGCATCACTCTGGCCGTCCTCCCCGGCATTCCCTAAGTTGCGGCCTCAAAGAGAAACCTCACATCCTCTAGCCCTACGTAATCGATCTCTGCTCGTCTCCTGCAGTACGTAATCAGATCGACTGGCCTCAGAGAGTCCACCCAACAAGTATCGTCTATGATGTCGTCAAGCGTCTCTCTACTGGGCGGTCCCCACCTCACACAAATGGCGTAGTATACTTCCCTGAAACGGGGCGCTAAACCCTCCTAGAGCGCGTAAAGTGTGTGGTCCACTGCTCTACTCAAACGTTCTACGCTCCCATAGGTATGCCCTAGCACGAAGGTAGGAAGCCCGAATCGGCAAGCCTCTCTCGGGTAAAGGGTCAAATGCGGTGGACCGTATACCAAGCGGCTCCAACGCGTCCTCCCTCCAGAGAATCTCGCCTGTTGCTGATTAACGATCACTCTGGCCAACGACTCGCTTCTGCACCAAGCCTTGCTTGTCCCTGCGAGCGTCAGTCCTACCTCTAAATCGTGTGCTTTATCCGCTATCAGATGTCCGACCCCTTCTAGGTCATGAGTCCTCTCGGGTCGTTCATCTCTTAGTATCACTGTCCAAAGGAAGAGTCCCTCTGCGAGCCACGTTCCCAGGTATCGTATCGGAACGCACCCTGTCCCCTCTAACACCACGGGAAGAGGAATGTCGTATCCAACTGCCGTCTCTCTGGGTCCCACAAACTTTCTCACGCTATACGATTCGGACTCTCGTGAGAGAACATAAGCCAACCAGGCTACTGAGTCACTCCTCATCTCCCCTCCGACTCTCGATCAGCATCACTCTACTCCCTATCTCTCGACGTTGCTAACTCCATATCAACTCTCCCACTCAGGTCTAGTATGGTCAAGTAGGTGTTGTGCGCTCTCCCGTCTGCTCCATGGAAGTAGATAGTAAACTCGATGTACCTGTGCCCCCTCCGTATTTCCAGGGCATGTTCCGTCATGAGTCTGATCTGTCACTCAACAATGTCTAACGCCTCTCCTTCCCAGCTGCCCGTCCTATCTCGTCGTAGGGAAAGAGTCACCCTCAGTATATCCCGGTCTGCCATACTCTCCACTACTCCCTTCTCTAAACCTCACTCGGATTTGTCCTGACTATAGTCGTCTCATGCATCTGGTATATCCTCGTCTATATCCTCATCTACCCTCTGCCCCCATGGGATGTCCTTCTGCACCTCGGCCTGAAGGAGATGGCCCCAACCGTCCTCCTGCAGCGCCTCTCCACCTACCTGCTCCTGTCCCTCAGACCGCGCTAGATCTCCCCAGTCCTCGTCCTGGTCGCCCCAAGGGTCTATGTCATCGAAGTCCTCCCAATCCCGATCCTCGGCGTACCACGCAAGATCGTCAACCTCTGGATATACCTGCTGGTAATACTCCTCAACCTCCCCAGTCGAGATGAGATGGCCCGGCCTCTCCTCACGAGTCTCGGCTAACAGCTGTCCCACTCCAGCTAAATGATCAGTTGGCCTCCGAGCCTCTCTCTCTAGCGTCGTCCAGAAGGCTAGGGGCTGGTACAGAGAATACAGGTCGGGGCTCCCAGTAGGTACAATGGCCCGCAGAAACTCAATCAACTGGAGCCCTCGCTCGCCTACAAGCGGCCCTGTTACAAACTGCGCATACACCACCCAGTCCCTGTCAGCGTACCCTCAGCAAAGGCCGTCCAAGTCAAGAGCCGCAAAGTAGATCTCACCCAGACGCTTAAGTCCCCAAAGCTCCTTTGCCACAAAGTACGGAAGTGTCACTCGCAGTCGACTGCTAGGATACGGGAAGTGACCTCCAATCTTGAAGGTCGTCCTCACTCTCTGAACTCCCCTGTGCAGCCGCTCTACCTCGCCGCGCGCGGAGTCTGCTCTAGCCAGTAAGACCCTCCTTGCGGTCTGCTCCTCTCGCCAATGATCGTGTACGAGGCCCTGAAAATAGACCGTAGCTAGCACCTCCGGCGAGTAATAAATGTGGCCCACTACCTCTATACTAGTCGTGCCAGGTCGTCGCCACCCCTGACTGTCCAACTCGAATGTCTCAATGACGTACGTCCACAAATGTACGTCTGGGGCCAACACCATCGATGACCATCGACTCTCTATCGCATCCGTGGAAACCCCTCTGGCCGGCAGATCTAGAGCCACTCTGCCAAGCGTTACTGTCTCTGGAGGCTTAGGCCATCTGGCATCGTTGATCTGAAGCTCTACTCCACCATCCGACTCTACCATCGATCCGCTATCTACTATCGACCGATATTAGTAGCTAAGCTCACTCAACCGTCGTCCCAATGTGCTCCTCTGCCTCCTACGCCCGGACTGCTACTCCTATCCTGGGGAAATGGGCATTCGTAACGTCGATCTCCTCCTCGTCAACCTCACTCTCTGGGTCTACCCAGTCTGGCTCCCAGGCGCCCTCATCGTCATCTCGCTCCCAACCCTCGTCGTCAAACTCGTCCTCGACGCGGTATGGCGCCTGTCCTATAGCCTGGTAGTACTCCGCTAACTGATGGCCGTATATCAGAGGTCGCCCGGCGTCCTCACTCCACCAGCTCCCCCAGTCGTCTGAGAAGAGCCGCCCGATGCAGGTCACGTACTCGGGGCCTGCTCGGAGCTCACGGTCTAGCCAATCCCAAACGCACGGAGACTGGGGACACACGTCGTCTATCGAACGGACCAACTCTATAAGCTGAACCCTCTCATCACCCCAACGAGGCCCACTGGTCGCGAGCGAATAATAGATGTAGTCGAGGTCGGCAGACCTTCTCGCCAGGATCTTGAGATCCTAATAGGCTAGGTACGTCTCGACCACTCCACCAATACCTCCAAAGATGCTCTCTACTACGAACGTCAAAACTTTTGCTCGCAGACTCCTAATGCTATACGGGAAAAACCCATCCAGTGCTACCACCAGCTCGCCCGTGATATCTAGAGGAGGGCGTCCGTGAAATAGGGTCAACGGGTCGCTCGAGTCCTCCGCTCGAAAGGCAGCTACCTCTTCCCTCAGGTAGCATATTGCCCTGCTAACCGCGCCACTAGTCCCTGTCGTCGCGAGGCCCACCACGGCCTCCAAGTACAAGTAGGCTTTTACTACGCTCACTCCTTGCTCAGGCCGGTGCTCTCTCTGCGTCCAAAGCCACACGTCCTCGGTCAAGATTATGGATCTCCACGCAAACTGGCTGTC